AAACCAAAACCATTGAGTAATATATTTTGTTGTGCATCATCTTTTGCATTTCACACAAATACATTTTGCAGTTTTGGACTCAAGTAAGTGGCTATTTATGAAGGCATATGAATAATACATGTACAGCATCTTTAGATGCTAGATGCTGCCTACTTATGTTAGATAAGTATATTAAGGAATCAATTATTTATAGTTAGTTTTATAGGACCACTAATGCCATATGTAACAGTATTTAATGAACCCCTTTGGTAATTGCAATGGAGATAATAACAAAAAGGGCCACACAGGAAGTCACAAACCAGGAAAGACTCTAAGCTCAGGAAGGGTAAAATCTCTACTCCTGTTGGAAAATTTATACTCTAGTGCAGCCTACTGAATGAACAGCATATAAAAATCATGCAAACACCAAAAAGCAGTAACATTTGTAGGCTTTTTTTATGTAGCTTTCCAAAGCTACCAGGTTTGCAAACTTAGGCTCCTTTTCAGATGAGCTTGGCGAAAGCATGCAGGCAAAATGTTGTTCTAGCAAATACAAAGAACAGCCTTGAAGGAAGGGAGATCTTATATATAGTTTACTTTTTCTACTTAAAAAGTGCACTGCTGTAATTGCCTTTTTATTTTATTTGATATACATTGGACATTTTAGGCTTATTTTTTCCTATATTTAGTCCAACCTACGTACACATTTTGCAACTCTTTGTACCTGTTCTTCTGGGTTTATTATTCTAACAAGTATCAACTTATTGGTACTGAAATTCAAGTAAAACCTTTTTAGATACCTGTGACTGCTTCTTCTGTTAAGTGTTCATATAAATGCTTTGGAAAAATATCTGCTCAAAGGTTGTGATATTGATAATTCATAAAGACCTTGTAGTTTATAAAGCTGTAGTAAAACTGGCTTGCACCTGTAAAAGTACTTGCATGGCTTTTAGTCCAGTCAAGGATAAAATTCTGTTATTTGCATTTTTGTATTCTTACTGCTACCACAAATGAAATGGTTATGAGATGTTACTACCTGTGGGATGAGCTTACTGGAGTAGTTTGACCTATGTTGTGTACAGTGAGAAGTTTGTGCAAACATCATTATTATTTTAAGGTGAATGTAAATTGTCTTTCAAATATCTTGTTTCATATAGTGACAAGCTAAAAGAAGCTCCTGGGAGCATTTTAAGGACAGGATTCTTCTCACCCTGTCTGGGACATTTACAGTGGAGATTTCTAGAACTCAATGTAGATCGCTCAGGGCCCTTTATCATCAGTAAAAAGGAATTGGTGACTTTGGGGCATGCTTAATCTTAGCTGCTTTTAAACATCCGCTTTAGGAAAAGCGGAATCACTTCCTAGGACACCCAGACTCTTTTGATTTTACCTGTACTGAAGGTAGGGATAGCTCTGCACGTACACTGTGGGCATGCAGGATGCTGTGAGCTAAGCCGGTAGATGGTGAAGTTCCAGAAAGCAGTCCCTGGAAGCCAGCACTGCGTGTGCACAGGTCTGGGCAGCTGCCATCGTGCTGGGTCTGGTCTGTAAGTGGAATTTACTGTGTTTCCAAGCCTAAAAGGGGACTCTGAGGCATGTTTAATGCAGATGGGGAAAACTGACATCGTGAAATGGAGCACTCCATTTCATTAAAAGGCATGCCATGAGGAGCCAGCTCCTTTCTTCAGTGTCTCAAAGGAAGGAGAACTTTCTCCGAGTATTACGAGTTCAGGCAGATGCTCTCTGTGCAAGGTCCTGATAACAAGAACCTGTGCTAGCATGTGTGGTAAGCTCTTCTGGAGTGAGAGGACTCTCTCTCCGCTTTTAAATCCATGACAATAAACTGTGCAAAAAAAATAGAAATTGATCTAAGATCTAGGATTATGCATCTCCCTTAAAGAGGGGAGCCCCAGGCTGTTGCCCTGCTATGATAATTATTTCTACACTTACTCAATGTTCAGTGTGTTTGTTCCTCTGTGTTCCTTCTCCCACACAGGGGATTTAATTGCTTCAGCACAAAATGTGCTCCTCAGTGATTCCCTCTGACCAGTGCCTTCTCCCACACTGGAGATTAGGTTGTGCATGAGCCTGTCATTCTGCACCACAGAGAATGTTAAAAATAAATCTCTTTTTCTGTTAGCCTTTATCTCTTGGTGTGGCATGCCTTTTGGCACTCACAATGGCATTTATTAGAAAATTTGCTCCCAGTAATGAGCAGTGTTAACTGCGTGGTTAAAGCCAAGCAGAGTGATAAGTACATTTGCCTCCTTGCTTGCTGGAGTCTGAGAAAGATGGTTACAAACCCTTGGTTTGTGCTAAAATTGTAAACAGCCAGTCTGCAGGTTGGTAAAGCTGTCTGGGGGTTCAAGAATAACTATAATATATTCAGGATGAAAGTATGTAACTGAGCTCTGGCAACATTCTTTGAAAGAAATTTAATACATCGTCTTTGTTGTATGCAAGATCTATTTTGTTAAAAATAGAGAAAAGTTATAATAGGATTTGATCACCCTGACTGGAGCATTGTAAAAAAGGGGCCAGGCACTAAACCATTGATGCTCAAATCAGGGGAAAAGCTAGTTAGCGTCCCTGGCATTAAGGGAATGGATTTTCAGAAAGCCGTTCATTGATATCTGACAAACAGCTTGAAAAGGATGCCAAACCCTCAGGGTTTCTGTCAGTAGCCTTAAAATGCATTTGCATGTTTTTTGCATAGAAACAGGAGCTCTCTCTCTGTTGCCAAACTGCAGAACTAAAAGGATGCAAAAACTCTATCTAGTCCAAAGAGCTCTGAGGGGGCAACTTCACAATCAGAATTCAAATGTGTGCAACAGATTAGGAAAATTACTTCAAATAGGATTTCAGCCATATCTAAGAGAGACACAGAAATCCTGAACAGATTGGTAGGCAAAACACTACCTGCACTGCCATTAAAATGTTTGGGTTTTTTTTCCTCTGGGCATTTCTCATGTGAAAAATAGCTCACTGATGTCAGCTGATCACATAGATTAATGTTGTTTAAGGTGCTACTGCTTAGTTTTCTTGATATCAAATACATTTTTTTTTCTTACGGTTTTGATTTTTTCCAATTCATAGCAGTACTATTATGGATAGGATGAGAGTGATGGAGGAGCAAAGAAATGGTGGTCCTCCACATGCAGCCAGTGTATCCAGTGGTCCTGTTGGTTGGCAGCTGTCCTTCCTAGCTATACCATTTGCTGGCAGCTGTTGTGGATTGAACCAGAGTCCCCCTGCCTTGAAAGGGTGCCTTGCCAGCATGGGCAGCTCTGCTGAAGTGCAGGATCTGTGACAGTGTGAGCTGGAGTTTGAGCTGCTCTTTTGCCTGTCTTTTCATTAAATAGTTTCCTTGTCTGATTCCAAATGTTATTCCATTCTTTCCTTTAAGGAAAATGTTTGCAAAGACAACAAAGCATTTGGGGCCAAGATTGTGCTTAATGTGCAGGTGATGTTTTGTTGGCAGTGTCCTCTATGTCACAGGCTAACTATGCTTTTATCATTTCAAGGAGGAAGCTGATGTCTGCAGTGAAATTTATGATGGGTGAAAGCGCCATGTAATTTTTAGCAGATAATTCCATCCAGGCAGGAATATGAGCAGAGTTCTCATTGTACTAACGGAGAGTTGACACTCAAATTTCCCATGCATCGAGTGAACAATAGACTTCCATTGTGTATACGTGGCACTGCCATTGATCTGATTGATTTTGAGTTGCAGCAGAAGATATGGTCGGTGATGTGTGAACAGGAAGGGCACAGTTAACTCTTTTCATGAATGACTATATTAAACATGATTTTCATGAATGACTATATTATATTAGAGCTGTCTTTGAAACAAAGTCCTAATAAGAAAATCAGTATTGATACTGTTAGATTACAGTTCATAATGATGATGATGTTAGAAAAGCAATAAATAATCTGCTGCTTAAGTTACGGATTTTTGCAACACTGGTGGAACACCGTAGGAAAAGTTTGGTTTAATATCTTCTTTAAAGATCTGTCTCTCTATCTGTATAGTATGACTTTTTGTTTCTTTACCCTTCATTTTCAAGGCTCGTGTACATCAGCATAGGCTGATAGAGATTTAAAAGACAAAGCGTATCTGTGGCTTCACATAATAAGAAAAGTGGGTTTAAGTGGTGGAAGAGGTCTTTCAGCATTTTAGAAGAAATGTTTTTGCCGAGTGAGTGTGGTTGGCATCATATCAGGAGTGTTAGGCTTGCCTTCTGCCTCCTGGAAAGATGGTCTGAACACAAGACTGTTGTCAGAGTACTGTGCTGCTTCATTAAAGAGAAGCTTCCATTTGCTGGGTTGCCTGGTTTTGTGCCTTGTCTGCAGCGTCTTGGAGGAATGGCCCAGCTTTCCCTGGAAAGAGTGGAGGAGATTCCTGGGCAGGATAGCTCATAGCTTGGTGAGAGTGTTGGAGGGTTGAATGTGAGAAAGATACTGAGACTGAATTGATGGTCTGTGTGGGACTGTGTTGGTGGAACAAAGGATCCTGCCTGGCAGCTGTGCAAAGCACCTGCAGAAGCAAAAGCTCTCCTGTTTCCATTTTTTGCAAGTAAAATTATTACTTGTCTAAGAAGCATGGGCTGTTTGGGGCAGCTCTGATTCTGGTACTTGAAATCTGTTTGTGGATCTGAGTTCTACAGTCTGGCAGAGCTGTTGAGGATCATGGCAATCAAAATACTTTAGCTTCACTTTGAAAGCATTAAAGCATTATTTTGAACAGCAATAGGTTTGCTTCACAAAGGTTATTTTGTAGTAGAGGCAGTCTGAAATATTCCACATTTGGTGATATTCTGGTCTAGAATTAATTTCTTGAAATGAAAATTGTGAGTAAAATATTCCACTTCCTGCAATGTCAGTATAGGACCAGTATTTATATAGAAATATATTTGTTGTAATTTTAGAAGCCCTCTTTTTGATATAATTATCTTTTTTTCCAGTAAATAGGGTAACCATTCAATTTTCACCTTGATTTCTGTGTTTTTGTTTTCAGCAGAGTCAAAATGTCAGACAAAAGTGATTTAAAAGCAGAACTTGAGCGCAAAAAACAACGTTTGGCTCAGATAAGAGAAGAAAAGAAACGGAAGGAGGAAGAAAGGAAGAAAAAAGAGGTAAATTTGCAACACCACCTTTTAGATATCTCATGCTTGGACAAGGGGCTTGCTGAGGTTTTGGCATCTCAGTATTATATGCCCCAAGGCATCTGTCATGTGGAATGAAGTACTCAAACCCACGTCAGACTAACCTTAAAATCAAAAAGCTTATTTTTAGTCAAGAATGTTGGGGTGAGGGAATTGGCTTTAAAACCACAGCACTGTCAAATGACAGCAGTTTAGACAACATGATGTGCATGTGTATGGAGAAAGAAAAATTGATTTGCCACAATGCTTTTTCCTGGGCTCTCCTTCAATGGAAAGGGAGTGGAGAGTGGGGAAAGGCAGAAAGAGGACTCACATTTTTTCAAGCCATTACAATCTAAATATGTATTTTTGTACTCTGAAGACTAGTTTGATTACTAGCTAAGGTAACAGATTTACAATTATTATTCTCCAGTAAAGTAAAATATAATTGCAGTTGCATTTTCCTCTTCTGGCATGGGTGCATCTTTCAGTTCTGTTAAAGTTTGATTGACATATTAGTTTATTTGTCCTTGACAATATGCATTAGGTTTATCATTAAGGGATTTGTACTTCTTTTTATTCAGTCACTTAGTGGAATAGAGGTGAGAATTGACAGGGAGTGGATATTCATTTTCATGCAAAGTCAGAGAAGCATTAAGTGATTATGCTTCCTTTCCTTCAAATGTCAACACTTACTATAGTTTAAAGCACCTGTTATCCTTTACTAATAACTGGTTTCCTTTTAAACTGACACTTTAATATTGTACATGAATTTCATGGAATTACCGTGGAAATGTGATGTGATCCAAGAAATCAGCATTCCAGTTTTGGCTGTCTTTTTAATCTTTTTTTTCATTTGAGCCACATTTGTGCAGTTACAGCCCACGTCCCAGAGAGGCTCCCGGACTCACTGGGGCAGTTCTCCACGAGCAGATCTTTAAATGGTAACGCTTTCAGTGCCCATTGCTAAAGAACTGGAGGGAAGGGGGCCAGGCTAATGGCTCAAGGAAGCTATTAAGTCCTTTCTCTTTGTCCCCTCACTCTGACTTTATGCCTCATGGAGGACTTGTGGTGGTTAAAAGTTTGCATTGTCCCTGAGAGCCCTGTCTGCAGAAAATGCTACAGTGCATAATTGTGTAAATGGGCTGTGCTGTGGGGCTGGACGTGTCCAGGAGTGAAGGGTGACACTCACAAAGGTGCTTGGCCATTCACACAGGTGCAGGACAGCTGTCTACAACCCAACATACAGTGAGAGAGTTCATGAGAAGAGCTGAGCATAGGAATATGCCTGGGCCTTGACTATAAAATCAGTGTTTCTGGGCTGGGTCCGAACTGGAGAGCATGGGGATTGCTGCTGAATTTCCAGGTTTTCTGTTGTGCCTGCACCAAGATCAACACCAGTATGAGGAACTGTACAAGTCCTCTTTTCCAACACTCTGGTTTCAGCAGAAAGGACAACCTCATTGTGGGATTCTGGCTAATGCAGGTGCTGCTACTGTTTTTAGATGCCCATAGATCAGAGTGGGAGAAGGCTAATGTGTGGAAGCTCCAAGGAGGTAGAGCTAGTTAAGCAGAGTGGGGAGGGTCCTGTGGACCTCTAGTAGGCCAAGGGCTGCCAAAATCCTAATTTAGAGGGCTTTGCACCTCTTGGAATAGAATGTAGGACCTTAAGCCACATCGCTGAAATGGTATTTCATTTCATTTCAATGAAATTTCATGCTTGATCCTGAAGTAAGTAGGAAAGGGCCAGTTTTATTCAGGATAGTGATACATGTTCTACGGCCAGCTTTTATGTTAGTTGAAAAAATTTGCACCTAATGAGTGAGAAGCAGAAAATTTCCATCATTGTCCTGTGAAAATTCTTTCAAATATCCTTGTAAAGACTGGTCTTACCATCCATTTAGGGAAAAATACTGTTACTGAGATATACATTATAAATTATCTAAGTTATAGATTACCTGAAAGTATCAACATTAATTTCAAATTGTACCTAAGCAGAACAGCATATGAATATTTCCACACATATAATTGCTGGAGCTGATTATATGTGAAATAATTCCTAGAGCTGATTATATATTAAATAAATTTTTCTGTTTTCTTCTGGGTTAACTCAGGCTGATCTACAACAGAAGAAGGAGCCAGCTCAGGAAGATTCTGACCTAGACCGTAAAAGAAGAGAGACAGAAGCTTTGTTACAGAGCATTGGTATATCCCCAGAACCACCTCTAGGTATTTAAGAGAAGCACACTGTAAAGCATTCAGCTCTGCCACAACTAATGCTTTATTTCTACCAAAGCATGCTTGGCTTTTTTGATTTTTGGCTGTATTAGTGAAGTGAACTCTTCTGTTTGAATGCCTGCCATACCATTCACATATACAAGCTCATGGCATTTTGAGTACTTGTCATTGCCTAAAACATCTGTTTCATTTCTTCAAGAATTTTTTATTAACATAATGCAGGTTGGTTTTGTATATCAGCAGTGATTTCTTTTCTGATGGACTGTTTTATATTCTCACTCAAAAATATAAGTGCTGCACTTCATTAGCCCCAAGTTTTGTTCTAAAAATTCAAATTAAGTATTTGTAAGGAGGGAGGAGCATAGTCATGTGGGAACTCCCACTGAGTTTCTTTTAAAATTAAGTAAAACTGAAGAAGGAAAATTTTAAAAACCCCAAATCACAAATGGAAAAACACTTATCAGCAGACACTATTGTAGATTTTTTTTTTTTCTGGTTTCGTGTGCTTGACCTCTTTTTTGGTTTTGATGTTTCACTTCTAGAACGTGAAGTATTCAGTACAGTGTCTGAGTATGGGTTACCTTGATTAAGAGCTGCCTCATTTATTGGATGATCCTAAAGATAAAAATTCCCTTTCTCCTTTCCTTTTCCCTTTTCCCTTTTTTCCCTTTTCCCTTTTCCCTTTTTTTCCCTTTTCCCTTTTCCCTTTTCCCTTTTCCCTTCCCTTCTCCCTCAAATTTGGGATCACTTTCACTATTTTAGCTGAAAGCTTGGCCTCTCTGGAGCCACCAAGCCTTTTCATTAAGTTTATTGTGACTGAATCTAGGATTTTACTCCTAGTTATTCTTGCCAGTAATATATGGGAGAAACTTCAAATTTGACAAAATATTGAAGTTTTGGTTTAGGCATTTTACATTTACAGATGCCTGAGTGAATATCCAAGTAGGTAGTGACATTCTGAATTGGAATTTGAATTAATTACTTGCATCAACTAACATTATTGAGAAAAGTTACTATTTTTATAAGTTATGGTTGGATGACTGAAGCTTTTAGACACCACTTCTCAGAAGAATTGTCTGACAAGTGATGGTTAGGTGATTTTTATGTATAATAAAATATGTTTTAAAAATTATATCATTTTACAAAAGTAAGGTTCAAGATAAAATCAGACACATTTTTAATGTATAACATTTTAAATAGTCAGTTTTATGTAAGAATGAGTATATGTGTCCTTATAATTTTATTAACAAAACACATATATTCACGTTGCGAGTTATCAGTTTTTATATCAGTTACTTTTTTTGTGTTTGATACTGCCAAAAGAATATTTTTTCTCTTTTTTTACACTCACAACTAATGTACAAAGGAGTCTAATTCCACCTTTGCACGATGCCAGGTCTCACTGTGAATATGGAATTATGTAAACAACCAGACATACCTGTAACCTGCCAAAGGGCTGTCACGAAGATGAATTCACTTTTCATGCTGCAGTCATTTCTGTGACAGTCTCTAGGGAGAATCTGCATTAAATGTTTGACCACATGGAAAATCCAAATCTCTTGACAGGTCTGTCATTATACATTGTGAAACATAACAAAGTATTCTAAAGTTTTACTCTGTTAAATCTATAAAAGAAAATGCACATGATTTAAACCAAATGGAGACTTTGCTTTTGCACTAAACCCTCTTTTTGTGTTTTATTCAATGTGGCTGCTTTGAAGAATACTTACTTTAAATCTTGACTGGAGCCATCTCCTAATTTTTAATATTTTTGAGAAACCATTTTAAAAGAAATCAGGATATTTTTACTCTTTTATTTATTATTTCTTTGCTGAAGAGCTTTGACTCGGGCTGACCTTGAGCTATGAACTTCTTTTCCTGTTTCAGGAAACAAAATTGCCTTTGCATGAAATATGCTTCAAAAGCCCTGGCAAGGCAAAGAGAAAATAATTTCAAGTGCTTGGGCAAATAGTGTGTAAACCAAGGGAAACTTTTCCTTGTGTGTTGAAATCATGTCCCACCCAAAATGGAAATTTTTCTATGACCTACATTACTTAAGAAAACAATCACCAAGTAAACTAATGTGTATTCTCAGCATCTTTGGGAAATGATTTTAACTTAGCTGCATTTCCTTATTTAGCTTTTATTTTTTTATGTCATTTCCACACTGCAGCCTTAGAGCATATCTAATGGACACTGGCTTTTGATTTAAAATCAGAATTTGAAAAGTATGCTTGTTCTGTTGCCTACTTGACTTTACCAGAAGAGTTCACTTAGTTTTTTGACGAGACAAGCCCCTAATATTTCTTCATACCTTTAAAATCTTTTGCAAGTCAGCTTCAAACCAGACTCAAGAAAACAAGTGCTGTTTTATTTCCACAGGTTAGCTTCTCCATTGATTAGCTGTAGATTCCCATTGGGCTTTCAGTCCTGTCTAAATACATGTCAGTTTTAACACTTCCAGAAGACTTAAAATTCACTTGACTCTCTTCCTTTTCTTTTTCTTTCCTTCCTTATTTGCTTTCACCATTTCAAACTCTCCTACTCATTCATCCACTATCATTTTGGTCCATTGGTTTTGATTTGTCTGACACTGCTCTTCATCAGTGCAGTCGCTGCATGTGTTAACATGGGATACCTGTTATTTTCATTATTTAGTCCCAACCCCTATGTCTCCCTCTTCGAAATCAGTGAGCACACCCAGTGACGCAGGCAGCCAGGACTCAGGGGATCTGGGACCCATAGGAAGGTAAGACACAGAGTTAACAGACTTGAATAAATGTGAGGTTTTTTTCACTTTGCTCTTACTTCCCCCTTTTTTCCTTGTCTGCTGTAAATAAGAGCATGCAGTATTGAATGTGTACTTTTGTTTCTGCATTGTCCACTGGGTGTTACCCAGTAAGAGTGGTCTCAGATCTGAGGCAAGTAAATGCATGCAGCAAATGGATCTTAAGCTCTGAGCCCCAAACCTTGTAGTGAAAGCAAGAGATTAATTTACACTTTTAAAATGGCCTACAGAAAGCTGTCATGCTGTTTGGAAATACATGAAAAAAAAGGGAGATGTGCCCAGAGGTAAAACCTGTTATTCATGTTGAGCTATCTTTGTTCACATAATCAGTCCCCTTGGAATTCCTCCTCATGCAACACCAGGTTGCCTCAGGTTCCTGAGGCTGACTGCTCATTGCAGTGTGTGCCACTGAAAGGGGCAGAGAAGAGCTTGGACAGGAACAGGCTGAAACATCCCAGGACCCACTGGCAATTCTGTCTTGGAAACTCTGGATATTGGAGAGTTTCATGAATAACCGATGGGAAGCGGCTCTGTTCTTGTTGTAAAGTGGAATTTGTGTGAGGGATGGAAACAAGAGTAATCTTCTTATTTTTGTTTCCATGGGAGAAATAAAAAATGAAGTGGCAATCCAAAAATAATTCCTTCTCTGGAACAGAAAATAAAGGAGAACATGAGGATGCTGTACAAGCAGCTATACTGTATATTTTGGGAAAAAATAAAAGATGTAAAAGATGGAACCTAATAGTTCCTTTTGTATCACACTAAATCAAGATAGAGCTGAGCTGCCAGCTCATCCAATTCTGTGAGCCAAGACTTTGCTAATGGCTTGAAAGCAGCATGTTTGCTTTCTGTAGTTAACAGTGCTCAGTAGACATCAAATCATACCTCTACAGACACAGACTGCAATGTGACAGAGCTTCAGGTCACCAGATTTCACACCACACCAGCCTTCTGCTTAGAAAAATCACACTTCCATAAGCAGAGAGTTTGTTGTGTCCCCTTCAGCCAGATGAAAACACTCTCCCTTTCGATGTGGATACTGCACAGCTGCTATTAAATCAGCTCAGCCCCGCTCCCAGGACTACCCTCTAGAAGAAATGGAGCTTGTTAAGTAAAAAGACCTAGCCTGTAAGATGTAGCGGTTTAAAACACAGAAAATAGTGTAATTCTGCTTTAATAAGTAAATGCAGTAGATTTCCACAAGACAAAATTCTCTGAGTAGAACAAAAAAACCTTTTTAAGCAAAGTATAGCCTGCTGTTCAGGATGAAGCTATTTACTGCAGTCCTGCATGAAGCTCTGACAAAGCTGGGTGGAGACTTCTAAATTCCTGCTTTTCCTCTAATGGTGTAACTGATTTACTATTAAGGTAAAAAAGGGCTCTTGGAAGAATTTATTTGGCTGTTACCCACTTTGGCTCTCTGTCAGCAACACGCAATGAAAGCACATGACCACGTGTCCTTTCAGAGGAGAATGGAGTTTGTCCCCTTCTTCCGAGCTCATGACATTCTGCATTGTGAGCTTTCATTTTGGAGCCATTTTCCGGCTTCTTGAGGCCGTACTAGGAATTCGGTGGGAATCCTAAGACCTTGCTTGTAGTCTCCCAGTTTGCTTGGCATATTCCTAGGTATTGAAAGGGCTGTGCTGTGTGCCAGGAAGGCTGCTTGCAGATCTTTGCCTGGAGCGACTGGTTTGTGGTAATGGAAATACGATAATGTCTGGTCCAGGCCCTGGGGAATGTGTGTAATCAGTGGATAGTATTGAGTGGCAATTAGTCGAATTAGTGTCACTGGGTGCAGGTAGATGTGCTCAGCATCCGTGTGAACAGGTGCACTCAAGCCTGCATGTGTGATAGAGTGGTCAGACTTGGCGAGGAAGATGCTGATAGAACTGTCATCACAGTGGGTAAACAGGATGAAACCACCTCAGCTGTTTTCTCTGAGTAGTGCACAGACCTCTCATCTAACTTACTTTATTAAACTTATTTTACTACATATATTATTGCCTGTTGATCTGTATAGACAAGGTTATCCTGCTTCATTTTAATTTATTTTTCCTTTTCACTTTCTGTGATAGAGGGGGCACTTCTGCTGGATCCCCTGTCATGCCATCATGCTTATTAGATCTTTCACTTTTCTGTACTAGGCTGAGCTCAGGCTTTAGAGGAGAGCAGATTAGTTTCAAAGCTGCTAATGCCCCAATCTCAGTGATCACAGCTTGTCTGTTGTTGCTGCTGCTAACTGCTGCAGAAATAATGAGCTCACACAGCCTGGCAGAAATCCTGCGGGCAGTCTGGTTACTCATTGCTGAAGTGTTCCCCAGAGGAAGATGATGGATATTAAAGAAAAAAAAATAAAAAATAAAAAAGCTGTGAAGTCACAGATTTTGGCTCATTACAGGAGAGAGGCACTGTTGAAAGCTTTGAAGAATGCAGGAGATCTTCATACGTTCCTGTAAGAGGGAACATATTTTGGTACAGAACTAGGTTGTGTTCATACTTCTTTGAGTTGCTGATACTTCTGGTAGTTGTCAGACTTAATCTGTTGGTCCCAATATCACCCAGTATATCTGAGATATGCTTTGATCAGCAAGCATCTGTGATTTCTTATATCAAAGTGAATGTAGTTCAGCCAGAAACACAGATTTATGACATCTGTTTTTCAGGAAAGAAAATTGATAAACTGAGAGTTTGAACGCTGCTTAATTGTAGTCCTGGAACCACAGATCTCACTCAGTCTTACTTTGCAAGATGAAAACTGATAACTAACTTGCTCACCAAGTTTAATAGTTACATAGGAGCAAACAGGCTCCTGCAGCAGAAAAGGTGAAAAGCAAAGCAAAGTATTTGGAATTGAAGTTGGAGAAATACAAAACAGAAAAAATTCAGCAGTGAAACAGATTCACTGCTAAAACAATTTACTTAAAGAGTCTGTGGGATCTTCTATCAGTGGTCATTTCTTGTCCAGGATAACGTGCCTGGCAAACAGGCAGACAATAGGTCAAACAACAATTCATTCATAAAGGTTGTACAGCCCTTTTGGTGCACAGGAAGAAAAGCTGCATGGCCACAATAGTCACTTCTGCCATGCAACCTACAGACTAGTAGTGCTGCTATCCTTCAGGACCATTGTCCATTATCTCTATCACAATAGCCAGAGCAGTGTTGTCTTCTCTCTGATTCACTGTATTAGAAGAGGAGGTGTGGACTTTGTAATAGAGGAACCATTTCTATCTTCGGCATCCCAGGTTTCTATGGGTTATTTTTTTGGCTGATTAATCTTTAGTACCATTTTCCTATTTGTCATAACCTTTTCACTGGAGAAAACATTAGGTTTGAGCAGCATTCCAGATTCCCTTTGAGCCATGACGGCAACTGTAAAAATAAGCAGATGTTAGATGTGTAACTGTTCTAGAAACTGCTGACTGAATGTTTTCAGTTGGACAGGAGAGCCAAATTTTTATATTTTTTTTTTGTGATCTTGGGGATCATATCTGGGTAGCCAGATGTGTGTTACACTTTGATTCTGGTGTTGTTCTTAGTTACCAGGCTGCACTGAACAATTCACAGGAGTTGTTGCTCAGAGAACAACTTACCTGTCTCCACATTGCTTTACACATCCCATTTTGCTTTTCTGGATGCCTGTGTTGCTTGTGCTACACAGATGGGATGGAAAAATGACATAGCCTGAGCGGATATCCATCTCTGAATAGATGGGTCATTGGTTCACAGAGCTTTCTTATATGATGTAGTCAGACATGACTCATTTTCCATAAGACAGTATTGCAGGATTGCATAGAGATTCTCCTTGTAATAGAGTATGCTTGGCTCTTTCAGGATAGGTGTTTTGGTTTGTTTAGCATTTTGTAAGCATTTTGATGATTCCCTATGTCCTCTTGCTGATGGTCAGCTTATGCATACACAGACATGCACAACTTCAGTGTAGATTTGAATGCATATGAAGACAAGGGCTGAGGTAAAGGTGTTTGCTGAGAGCTCCTGTGCTGTAGCATAGTGTGAAACATAAATTTGTTTCTACTAAAATAAAACTCCTTTGTAATAAGTATGTACATCGCCCTGGATACTCTGAACTTTTACTACCCCAGTGTGCTAGAGAGGATGCTAACTAATATAATTGAGCCACAATGAAACATGCCCATGGAGAGGTAGGTTCTGCTGCTCAGCATACCTTAGGCATTTGTAAGTCTTGTCTTTGCAGCACTCACATGTGAATTCTGAGTTTGTTGTCTGAGGAAGTGCACAAGGACAGACCTTGTACAGTGCCTCAGAGACAGGCAGTGCAGTATAAGGTTTTGTGGGCTGAGCAGCTCCCTAGAAAGACCTCGTATCCTGGCTCAGGCAGGGTCCATCTGCCCTTTGCATGTCAACCCAACATAAGATAGCAGAAATACATCTGTGCTGGGAGGAGGTGCTGCTGTGGCTGGGCAGCCTTCAGGACTCACACCAGCCTGCACTGGTGTGTGTGCCTGTGTCACCTACAGAGGCTCCTGTGCTCACCTGGCATGTGGCATGCTGGGAGGAGTTCCTTTTGGGGACCAAGGGGTGATTCATCTCTGTGGCCCAATCTGCCCTGTATCCTTCACTGCTCCTGTGTGTTCCTGGCAGGGAACAACCTCCATGTGCTCAGATAGCTTCACTATCCTCCAGTAGTAGGTTTGCACAGTAGCATCTCATTTATTGTGAATTGTGTGTGTGTGTGTGTGCCCAGTGGAGTCCCATGTGTGCAGCACTTCCCGCTGTGCATTGGGGAACATGAGAATCCCATCAGGCTGGGTGTAAGGTTTCCTACCTGCCATCTGCTCACTGAACAGCACCAGGCTCAGCTGTCTTGGATGTGTAAAGGTTAATTGTTGCCCTTGCTTCTGCAAGAATTTTATGTGTGTTCTTTTGCTTTCTAACTTGTGTATTTTACTGTGCGTAGGTTTAGGTAGCTGATTATTTTG